GTCGACCTACAGTACGCGACGCTTCTCATTGGACGGTAGCAAGGTAGTAGATCAAATAATTGCCAGTATATTAGTGGAACGAAACAATAACTATTACAGTATTCAAGGTGAATAATTCTCATCCCACAGACGAACAGTATTTTACGGGCGCATTCAACTCCCTTTCAGAATGGTAGTTGCGTAATGAATGCGAACGTGGTCTATAAAGTGACCTCTAAGTTGAAAGCCAACCATGCCAGTGGTCTTTATCCTCCCAAACGAGTTTGGTACCACTTAATCGAGCCGGGATGGATGAAAATTCTTGTTTTCCTAGGCAGATATCGATCCGGGATAAGATCTTTGGGCCATGCTTGTAGGATAGTGCGCCACTTTTCACTACATCACATCCGCCCACACAGTTAAAACATATTTAAAATTAGTCAAAGTGAATTGGCAATAATGTTATCGTGGTATAAGACGCCAGTACTTCCCATTGTCTATTAAGCAGGCTATAACCTACCGTGGTCACTTTCATGACTGCCTTTCGAGCTTTCCTATTTGACATGAGAGGCTTCAGAAGGCTACAGCGCGGAATTTTGAAAGAGAAAGGGGAAGTATACGGTGAAGGGTGTGCGACAGATGGCCATCAGTCCAGAATGCAGTATACTTGTGGGCGGGGTTTACGCGATGCAATCAAATGACAATGTAAAATGGGCGGTATTATTAGAAAAATGAAGATTTGAAAGCAGTAAAGGAGAAGTTCGAAAAAAATTCGAGCTGCAAATTCAAGATTGAATCTGATAGATTAAAGGGCTGAAAATTTGACTTACTTTAGCGAATTTTTCGAACGCGTCATTAGCTTTTTTCATTTGTGAAACAGAGAGATCCGAACTGAGATGCAAATGTTCCAACTCCAATTGTAGACGATTCACTTTCGCCTCTTGATCCTTGATTTGAAGCAGTTTTTCTTGACAGATGCTGATCATTTTTCGCACCTGAAATCATGAATTGATTTTTTGAGTGATCAAAAAAGTTTAATCAAAAATCAGTACTTGATCGGAAAATCAGTACTTGATCGGGCTTTCTTGAGACCGTAAATGTGGATGACCATGCACGTAACGGCTCCATTTCGGCTGTTAACTTCGCCACGTGGCGAAGGAATCGTTCGACTATCTGAATTCCGTCCTTGTATCAGAGTATAAACGTTATTCGAAGAGTAAAAACGGAATTAATTTAGGGCCCTAAATATCAATGACCAACTGATATAAATACAATTCGATTTTTTAGACAGACGGATTTGTTAGCCTTAGCTTTTTTTATGTGTCGAAGTTGCTTGCCCAGCTATGTATGTCATGGCGATGTATACTACATGACATTTCTGCTTTGGAGATTATGTTTTGTGGAAGAATTCCCAAGTGGGAATGAGTGGAAATCACAGATCAGATGAAAAAGATGTAAGCCCACAACTGCTGGATGATGTAGAAGAGGAATAGAAAGCAGCGAAACCTTCGGGACTCTCCTCCTTCCTGTACAATGAAACTTCTCTCAAAATTGCTGGAATGCTAATAGAAAGGGAGGCACCTCCTGAAAAAGGCTGCAGT